TTAGGGTTTAGGGTTTAGGGTTTAGGGTTTGTGCGCAGCGCACTGCCGCCATCGGCAGCAGAGGCAAGGGCAGCGGAAGCAAGAGAGATTGAAAGGCAGATAAAAGAGAGAGAGAAACTTCTAGCAGTAAACCCTAAACCCTAAACCCTAAACCCTAACCCTCTGATGGAGGCCTGCAGGCCCTAAACCCCAGCACCACCTGTGCTCTAAACCCTATATGGACAATCCACGCGACCTACCTAGGGTTTAGGGTTTAGGGTTTAGGGTTTAGGGTTTGTTTTTCAGACAGGAGGGGGCGGCGAGCCTCCCCCCCTAAATCCTCAAGTGTTTACTCTAGAGCAAATGCGGCAACTCGACAAGCAGCAGCAGCAGCAGCAGCAGCAGCAGCAACAGCAACAGCAAGATGACTGGAGCGACGTGGGCCACGCAGCTCTGACCCCCGCTGAGCTTATGCGCATCAAAGACGTAGGCTCCAGGGTTTAGGGTTTAGTGTTTAGGGTTTAGGGTTTAGGGTTAGTTCGGCTTTTGAGCTGTAGTCGGTTGTTGGAGTCTGTTCGAGCGCCACTTCTCCAGCGCAAGCTCCCAAAAGCTCAGGGTTTAGGGTCTAGGGTTTAGGGTTTAGGGCTTAGGGTTTGTGTTTCAGGCTCTGGGAGAAGGCCCTTCGTTTCAGTCTCGGGCAAAGCAGCAGCTGCTGCTGCTGCAGAAGCGAAAAGTGTTTAGGGTTTGCTGCGTGCGGCTGCTGCTGCCAGACCTCTTCGTGCTGCAGCTGCAGTTTGCCCCTTCGCAAACCCTCAGACACGTGCGAGACACGGCTGCCCAGGTAGGGTTTAGGGGTTAGGGTTTAGGGTTTGGGGTTTGGGATTGGGCTTGGGGCTTCGCAGCACGCAAGGCGTCTAGGGTTTAGGGTTTAGGGTTTAGGAATGCCGTTTTAGGGTTTAGGGGGTTCAACGGCTTACTTTTGAAGCTCAGGGTCTAGTGTCTAGGGTTTAGGGTTTAGGGTTTAGGGTTTAGGGACGTAGGCTTGGGAGTTTGGGGTTGAGGGTTGGGGAGGGCCTGCTGCTGCTTCTGCTGCTGCTGCTGCTATTCTGCTGATGCTCCGTTGCTGCTGCTGCTTCGGCCGCTTAAGTTAGTGCTGCAGTTATAACTGCTGCTGCAGTTCGTTCTGCTGCTGCCGCAGCTCGCGCTGCCGCTCTTGCTGCAGCCACTGCTTTTGCTGCTGCTGCTATTTATTTTGCTGCTGCTGCTTCTACTACCCCTGCAGCTGCTGCTACTGCTTGTGCAGCTGCTGTTAGTGCTGCAGCTGCTGCTGTTCTGCTGCTGCTGCTGTTACGGCTACTGCCACCGCTCCAGCAGCAGCGGCAGCAGCAGCTGCTGCTGGTGCTACCCCTGCTGCTACCCCTGCTGCAGCTGCTGCTGCTGCTGCTGCTGCAGTTCCTGCACCCCCACTTCCGCGAGGGTTTGCTGCGGTGGTACTTATGCGAAACGCCGCCGCTGCGGCGCTGCTGCCTTTCCAAAACCCTTTATGAAGAGGGTTTGGCCCCGCGGTGCCTTCTCCACGTGAAATTGGAAGGTTAGGGTTTAGGGTTTAGGGTTTAGGGTTTAGGGTTTAGGGTTTGGAGTTTGGAGTTTGGGGTTTGGGGCTGGGACGCGGCGGTCAGGGGTCAAACGCGCAGAAAGTGGGGGCTACAGCT